TTTTACATGTACTTCAATTCAATGTACCAAAGAAATAATTAAAATTTCAATAAAAAACTCTAACATTATCTTCGTTTTTGCTGCGGTTTTTGTGTAAAAAAGTGTACATTTCGAAAACTTACTAGTAAAATTGAAAATTCTTGTCAATTCTGCGTTTACATTTCTAGCGCAAACATTATCAGCAAGTTCAAAATTATCGTCAGTTATGTGAAATGACTTTGAACGTGGTTGGATTATTGATATGAAGAAGGCCGGATTTTTACTTGGGGAAATTGCCAATCACGTAGACCGTAACCTGACAACTAGGTTAAGATGTTGGTTAACGTGGTCTGAAGAGAGTACTGCCGCGGATCCGTAAGTCCTAGGAGGACTACAAATCGTTAAGAATGTCATCTGAGAAGATTGGCTGTAAGAGACAAGGTTTTCCATAACACGAGCCGGAAATGATTGCATGGAAACTTTAGTACCAAGTATCGATAGCGTCCGCATATCGACGAAAGAGATCTTTTGGGATTCGTTCCTACCGACCATTTTTATGAACGCGGTCAGTGACATAACCAACGTTTAGGACCTATTGTAGTGCTATATCTTCGGGGTTGATTAATCCAATTTTTCAACAAGATAAAACGGCAAGAGTTACTACGCAGTTTTTGGAAGAAGCTAATATGCATGTGCTTCCATGGCCTGCACGTTCACCCGATCTCTCACCGATCGAACATGTCTGGAATATGATCGGTACAAGGCTGGGCAAATTATCCCACTCCACAAGACAATGTCAATGATCTTCAACTTCGTGTATAAAAGAAGCTTGGAAGGAGGTACTCCAAGACGATATTGAAAATCTGATACAAAGGTGTACCTTGACAAGTAAATGGATGCATAAATAATCACGGTGAGGTAACTCATTATTAAATAATTTTTATTTGTTATTATTTCTTATTGAAAATTGAATCAAATTCTTTGTTACATTGAAATACATTTTCTGTAAACATTTCAAATAAATTACTTAATTAATATTAGGTGTTCAGATCAGCACCTATATATACATTGATATTACATACCGTATTTTCATATTTGCACACTACATAAGGAGGCAGTGTCATTCGAACTCATATATTCGGAGTGGAGGGGAAGTATGGACTATATAGCTGCCGCTGTGACAAATTCACGATAGTCAGTCACTTTTTGTATCTAGGGGACTGCACGAGATTGGCCGAACGAATGTAGTGTTTGGAAATGAATGCACGGTATAATATTGTCATCCAATAAATGATACTGATCACAGTGTGTATGAAGACAATATTTGGAAACTATATGGATAAAATTTGGTTCAATTAAACATTGACTGTAGCTTTTCTTGTCATCTGAAGCCATCTTAAAGCCAAACTTAGTTTGGCATAAGTCTGTTAATCACTCTTTTTCTATTTATAACCAAAAACGAAAGCAAATTACATAATCTCATTTTAAATCAATACAGATTTAGTAGGCGAAATTACTAATAAAACCTTTTTTCATTTATTATATTTTTTTAGACGTCCTATTTATATTAACGTCCTAGAGGAGTTTAGCACATTGCTATTCTACCACTCAACCAGAACAGAAACACACAACAACAATTACCTCCGACATTTGCCAGATGCTGCAGCTGACAAGGGGAGGGCACGACCTTGGGAATTTATTTTGGGATGAGACTTCGTGTAATAATTGTACTTCTTTAGGTGTTCACCCCTTGGAATGGCAACGCGCAACGCTCAATCGATTTGGAGAAAATGACGTTTAAAAATTCAAACTCAGCTTATATACTAGTGAGGTTCTTCGAGTTCCCGCGGCGAAATAGCCTAGCCGATAACGTGTCTGCGTACCAATTCCAATTTGGATACTAGTAATAAACTTTTGCTTTACAAAACCGTTATCAGGCCCATACTTACGGTGGCTGCGTCGTCTGGAACAGGATGTCGAACACACAGTTCGGCCGCCTCCAGACGACGCAAAACAAACTACTCCGCCTCCTTACTAACTCAAATCGTTACATAAGCACACAACAACTCCACGAGACGGCTGAAATGCCCTACATTAGAGAGTACATAATACAGACGGCCACCAAATTTTTCAGACATAACGTTCAAAAATCCACACTCACAGCGCACATCACCGACATTAGGAACCACCACGAATTTCACATACACACAGACTAATACATGAAAATTTACCACTATATTACGAATAACAACATTTTTTAGACACACAATGACGGACAACTCCAACTTTACTGCACTTTCCAAAATTTTCAAATTTTTCTACCCCTAACCGTAACTTCCCCTCTATGACTGCCCTATTGCCTCTTCACCCTACTTTCCTTTATACATACAATCTAAATTTCAATTCTTTTAAGCAGGTTTTTTCTTGAGCTTTTTCCTGCATGACTAACACTATAACGATATTACTGTTTATTAATCCTATGCTGTTTAATTTTTACAATGCCTCGGCAACGTTCTAATTATGTATTATTTCGCTGTTATAGGAAAGCGTCGACCCTATTCCGAACAACAAAAGGACGCCTGCCAGCCACGTCGGGCCCGACCATCTGGCCTGGGAGTGGGAACCTTCGACATAGAAGGAACATCGCCTCCTTCTGCTTTTCACCCTGGACTCGTCCAGGTGAGTTTTTGCTGTAAAGCCGATTGGCTATAACATTATTTGTACTGTAGTATTTATTTATGTATGTATTTATGTATTTATTTATTATATGCCGAATGATGTGGCGCCTATTTAAGTTTTTATCATGTAATTTAATATTTAATAAATGTTTTCAAATTAGAAATTGGAATTGGAATTCCAATTTAAATGGGCGCTCGGTGTTCGAATCACGTGCACGACTTTTTTTTTTAATTATTTATTTAATTGTTTTTACAATTAAATAAATTTATTATTTAATATTATCGATCATTTAAATAACAATAAATAATAATGTTATTTTACTAACGAAAAAGACTTTAAATTTTAAATCATAATTTAATTATAGTAATAATTTAAATTACTACCAAATAAATATACTATAATTTAATAAACTATTATTATTATTATTATTATATCCATTAGTAATAGTATATTTTAAATAATAGTTTATTAAATTATAGTATATTTATTTGGTAGTAATTTAAATTATTACTATAATTAAATTATGATTTAAAATTTAAAGTCTTTTTTCGTTAGCAAAATAACATTATTGATATTATTGTTATTTAAATGATCGATAATATTAAATAATAAATTTATTTAATTGTAAAAACAATTAAATAAATAATTTAAAAAAAAGTAAGTCGTGCACGTGATTCGAACCCGAAGCGCACATTTAAATTGGAATTCCAATTCCAATTCCAATTTAAAACATTTATTTCACATTATATACATTTTTAAAAACTTAATTAAATGCCTACATTCTGGCTTACAGTAAACATATGGTACGCAGACACGTTATCGGCTAGGCTATTTCGCCGTGGGAACTCGAAGAACCTCACTAGTATACAGGGTGAGTCAGTTTTTTGTAGACAAACTTTAACAGGAGATAGAACACATGTTTTTAAAAAGAAAAGTTCCTATAAATATATGTCGTAGAACGCTTCGTTTCCGAGATACAGGGTGTTGAATATAATTTTTTTCTCGAATTTTCATTATAACTTATAAACGAATGCTTAGATTTTTTCCATGTTTGGGGGATAATGCCTATTAATTAAAGGGCATAAAACAAGCGATAAGAATGTTCAAAAACTTGCACAGTGGCGGAGTGGAGGGGGTGCTCAACCCTTTCTTAAACAGAACTTCTACACCAATGACTATTTTTTTTAAAAACTATTATTTTCGTTATCTACATACAGTTTAACAAAAATAATGTCTCTTCTTCTCTTTCGAAATTCCTGTGCGTTTCCGAGTTATTTTGATTTTTAGTGTTTGATGTGGTACTAAATTAAGTAATTTATTCAGGGTGAGTCAGTTTTTTGTGGACAAACTTTAACAGGAGATAGAACACATATTTTTAAAAAGAAAAGTTCCTATAAACATATGTTGTAGAACCCTTCGTTTCCGAGATACAGGGTGTTGAATATAATTTTTTTTTTCGAATTTTTTGAGTATGTATTTGTATGTATTGTATTTGAGTATGGCTTGATATAACAAATATTTATTTTGACTACATTGGAAAGAGATAAAGAATAAGAGATTTCGGATTTTTAGAATCCTTATCAAACCATATTTAGGTAGGTTTCGTTGAAAGAATTAAATATTTAGCCGATAATTGATAATAAATAAATTACTTAATTTAGTACCACATCATACACTAAAATCAAAATAACTCGGAAACGCACAGGAATTTCGAAATAGAAGAAGGGACATTATTTTTGTTAAACTGTATGTAGATAATGAAAATAATAGTTTTTTTAAAATATAGTCATTGGTGTAGAAGTTCTGTTTAAAAAAGGGGTTGAGCACCCCTCCACTCCGCCACTGTGCAAGTTTTTGAACATTCTTATCGCTTGTTTTATGCCCCTTAATTAATAGGCATTATCCCCAAACATGGAAAATCAAGCGTTCGTTTATAAGTTATAATGAAAATTCGAGAAAAAAAAAGTATATTCAACACCCTGTATCTCGGAAACGAAGCGTTCTACGACATATGTTTATAGGAACTTTCTTTTTAAAAACATGTGTTCTATCTTCTGTTAAAGTTTGTCTACAAAAAACTGACTCACCCTGTATAAGCAGAGTTTGAATTTTTAAACGTCATTTCTCCGAATCGATTGAGCGTTGCGCGTTGCCATTCCAAGGGTGAACACCCTAAAGAAGTACAATTATTACACGAAGTCTCATCCCAAAATAAATTCCCAAGGTCGTGCCCTCCCTTGTCAGACTCGAACTCAGGAGAGATAGACAGTGACTAACTGGGTTCTTGCCACATAACAACGTTATAGCCTACTGTGCTACCGTCTCGGTACGCTATACATCCATGCCCTAGCCAGGATTCGAACCCGGGACCTTTGGTCTCAAGCCTTACGTATAAGCACTGCGCCACTAAAACGACAATACGAATTTAGTTTTTTTTTTTATTTAATGCCGTTTTTCGAACAAATAAGAAAAATCGTTTTCGAAGTAGGTAGCGTTAATAGCTATTTGTATAACAAGGAGGAAAGTGTAACATTTCACCGCGCGGATGAAGTTTAATTTTCGATGCGAAGTCGAGGGCAGTAATCATTCACGGGATAAAATGTCACTATCCTCCCATGTTATACATATGATTTTTTCTATGACATCTAACATAAAAAATGGATGAAAGGGAAATAACATTTCTTTAATGTACCCGTATTGGCATTATGAGCAGTTTTAATAGTAATTTGAATAGTAAGTAAGCTGTGGAATATTAAAATACCAGTTTCAAAGATAGTTGTCATGGTGACAAAACATTGTAAATCATAATAAAAATTGAAATATTAATTATAATCATGTTTTTAAAATGGGCTGAATTGCTTAAAATTAATAAAACATTATACCACCTTACAATGAAATTTAGCAGACATTGAGATTTCAAGGTAACTATGTAATAGTCAAAATTCGGTTGGAAAAATACTTTCCTCCCTAGGGAGGAAAGCTATTATGCCTCCTAGGAAGAGAAGGTACTATTTTCTACCAGCATTTAAAGAAGGACAATATTACTTTCTATACAAAAAATAACTTTTTATCTATTTGCCCTACTAAGAATTTAGCTATTTGATTAATAAATTAATAACCAAAATCTTGTAGACAACTGGGAATATCAGTAAAATTCTAACCATAAAAGATTTTTAAATAAACTACCAAAACATTTAAAGGATCTCTTTTTCAAAAAATCATATCTTTTCAGCGAAAATTGTTATGCACCTACACTGTGTCCCAAATTGGAGGGTGCATCAAAAATCAAATAGAAATACTGGATGAGACATCAAGAATTTATGAGGATAACTTTCCAGAACGTGTGCAACCGAATGAAAGGTATTTTAGGACTCTTGTTATTAATTTATTAAATTATGGACGGTTTAATGGAAAAAGAAATGACTTATGAGATAGATTACGAAGTGCGAAATAACGTTGTATAATACGTAGAAGACAATGCTACAGCATCTGTAAGACAAATTTCAAATCAGGTAGATGTTCCCAAAACAACTGTGCATAACATTTTAAAGAAAAATCATTATCATCCAACCATCGTACAAGATTTACAAGAAAATGACTATGAGAGAAGAGTAGCATACTGTGATTGGTGTCTACAGAACCCAGACTTTCATTCAAAAGTATTATGGACAGACGAGACTAGATTCACTAATTGTGGTGTTTTCAATAGACATAACACACACTACTGGAGTATCTAGAATCCCCATATAATTAGCCAAAGAAGGTTTCAAACCAAATTTGGATTCAATGTCTGGTGTGGCATCATGGGTAAACTTGTTTAAATCGTTCATTGATAATAATTCATATAAAAAATACTTTCCAGGTAATCGTATCATTGGACCATTTATTTATCATGATAATTTGAACGGTGCGAATTATTTGCGAATGTTGCAAGAACAAATAATACCAGCTCTTACACTTGCTGTAGAATATATTAACCAAATTTGGTTTTATCATGATGGTTGTCCAACACATGCGGCATAGTAACACAATTCTTAAGAGCAACTGTTGATGATAAAATTATTGCAAATAATGGCAACGTTCTGTGGCCAGCCAGGTCTCCTCATCTTACTCCGTTGAACTATTTTCTTTGGGGGCATACAAAAAATGAAGGTTATGCATTTGATCTACCAAAAAATATTCAAATTTTAGAAGAACGTGTAAGAAATACTTTGGCTGCTGTTAACAGAAATACTTTAAGGAGAGCGTGTAGTTCAATATTAAAGCGATGTCAAAAGTGCATTGATGAACAAGGACGACATATTGAACATTTTTTTAAAATTTTTAATTTTAAGTTGAAGCTAATAAAATCGGATTATTTTAAAATAAATTTTCTTCATGGGCTACTTAGAAAAATGAATTTTTTTATATTTTACACCAGTAACTAATTTTTCCTGATATTGTGATACATCGTTAAAAAGGAAATTAAGAGCACTATTGAACTATCAAACAATCCAATATGGCGCCCATAAGAAAAACAAAGTGGCATTAACTCAAAAACAAATTAGAGAAATGTTTTGGTAACGTCAATGAAAGCACCTTAAAAAAGTGTCCTAACAATGTACTTATTAAAATATCACCAGTCATCAAATTAGGCAGATACGGAAAGTTTTTAAAATGCACCTTTACAGTTTTTTGAAAATATCTGGAAAACGGAAAGGACTAGGCCAAATTTAAAAACGGCATCGAAACGGTCATAAAATTCTTCAAAAAAGTCCCCATTTAACCGTTTTTCTATCACTAATAATAACCGAGATAGCAATGCATGCATCCCCAATTTGGGACACAGTTTATACATGTTTCATAAATTTATTAATCAAATTGGCTACTGTCATCCTGGCTTATTTTGTATGATTTATTTGTTGTCATTACAACTGGCATTGTTATAAATGTGAAAGTAGACTAAAGTCGATGTAAAAATTCGAAACAAGAACTGTTATTAAACATACGTTACATACATTTTTCTGTTTTGTTATTCACTGTCACTAAATAATGAAAGCTAGAAGACACCTCAACCTCAATGATTTGCATGTGCAAGAAGGACAAATGTGTCTTAGTCTGTGGTCTCTAGACTGGAGATGGCATCAAGAGACAGGACTTGTCACAAGAAGACCTAGTCAAGACTATGACAGATTTCTTAGATTGCAGGCCTTTCAAAACCGTATTTTAACTACACCCTCTATAAAAAATGACCTCTCTAGAGTCAAAAAAAGTTCAGGTTTCAGTCCAAACAGTGCATAATAGACATAATTTAATTTATGGTTTAAACGACCACTTAATACACATAGATTGAGCAGACACCTTAAACAGGCGAGATTATTGTTTGCTCCAGAACATCAACTTTTGCAGTTGTGGAACTAGAGCCAAGTTATGTTTTCGATTGAGTCGAGATTTAAATTATGGGTTAATGATGGACGAGTTCGAGTTCTGAAAATGATTACAGGTTTTGACTAAAATGCCATAATTTTAGAAAAACCTATTAAAGTTTTAACTTTTGATCCTTTTTAATTGTTTTGGGTAATGTATAAGATTGGTTGAGATTTTAACCGCTCTTCTGTCCTGTCTAAAAAGTGGTAGGTTCCTTTCCCACACATAATAAGTATTTGTGAAGGGTGGTGGAGATATCAGTTCCTAATATTTTTTACCATTTTACTACGGAATTTGCTAGACACACTTATTCCAATTTACCTGCATACAATGCTGACACACATGCTCTTGTTGCTGAGAAACTGTTTGACATTTAACACATCGATAGTCCGTACTTTTCGATGTAATAGGGGACTCGTTTCCATTCAACAGTTTTAACAATGATTCAATATATAAATTTTTTTGGAAGATTTTCCAAAGAATCAAAACCATTTTCGAGCAAAATTTCTTTTTGACACAATGCACAACGAAATGACTTAATATCAGTTGGTAGTGAAACTTTCATCTGATCGGTTGAGAGTGGAGCTATTTTGACCATTAAATTTTTTGCCATTAGATGAGCCTGCAAACAGTTTAAACAAAACGTATGCTGGCAATGTAACATCCGAGGGTTTGTTAATCTTTCCAAACATATTCCACATTGTACAATCTCTTCTAGTACTCCCAATGAATCGTCCCTAGAAACAAAATGAAAAAACTATTTTATACAATGCACAATCAAGAAAACCATGAGGTTTATTACATAAATTTAGATCCTACTAGATGGCATTTATTTGTTGTATGAGTGGCTTAGCATATGTTCCTGTTTAGAAAGTTTTCGAATTTCTGAATAGTATAAAAACAGTTCCTGTGAAATATCTTTTTACACGTATTTTAAAGGATGATAGAGAATTTACCTATCTTAGATTATGCGGCAATAAATAAAAAAATAATGTGCCAGTATATTGTGGCACACTGTGATTGTGGTGGCTTCTCATAATACGCATGCATGTGTCTATTAGTGTGAATATTATTTTTGGAGCGTGTGTGAACATCACTGTTTAGTATAAATTTATTTTTATTTACATATAACACAAAACCTTTAGTAAATACACTTCTCTTACAGTTAAAATTTTCTGTTTGTTTAACCTTGTAACGATAAACTTCGTAAATTTTACGACGCCGATTTTAATTTTCGGCAATTATCGATCGGATTTGATTGGTATCAACCTGAGCGTCTAGCTATTCCCTAAGCAGTAGTGCTGAATAGTTCGGTGGTGTTAGTCGATATTTTAGCGTGACGTAGAATAAGTTATAAGACGAATATCGTAAATTTTACGAAAGGTTAGTCTTAACGTAACTTTTTTAATATTGCACGGAACAAAAAAAAAAACAATATTTTTCAGATCACTAGTGATCTAATTTGTAGTATTTGAAAACTTATACTAAAGAGTATGTTTCAACATTGTGAAGCCACCAGACCACTAACTCAAGTAGAACTTGATAAAATCGCTGAAAACTTGATTATAGAATCAGATGACGAAAGCACCCAGGAAAGTGGAAGTGAAATTGAGGATGCCATAGAGTTTTGAAGATTTTGAAGATAGTGCTACTGATTATGTACCTCAGACGATGACAGCAGTGATTATGCTTCTCCCAAGGCAAAGAAAAAGATGTATTGTTCTGCAAAACAACAGCAACCAGAAGATGCAGAACTTGATACGGACACAGAGCTACAACAAAGAATTGTTCAAGTTGACGAAACAATTCGATCACAAGTAAGATTTATAGCGAAAAATGGCCATCGTTGGAGTGCAATTCCTAAATCAGCATTGAAAACTCCCAAATTTACTTCATATTTTTCCAGACCCAGTAAGATACTTCCAGAATAACCCTCTTCCAAATGAAACATTCAATATATTTATAACAGATGTTATCATTGATAAAATTGTTTTACACACAAACGTT